CCTCATCCCACCTCTCCCTCACCTCTCCCCTCATCCCTCCTCACTCTTCCTCATCCCACCTTCTTCTTCCTCCCTCACCTCCTTCCCTCATCCCACCTTCTCCCTCCCTCACCTCTCCCTCATCCCTCCCTCACCCAGCATAAGGGCACATCCCACACAGAGGCGAGACTATGTTAAAAACCTGCTGCTCTTAGACTACTCAGGAGCCAGAGACCAACAGGGTCCCACGCTCAGCTCAGATAGGCGGAGCTTACGGTAGCCCAGGTGACGTCCCAGGCATCTCGCCCGGACATAACTCATGAAGCTAAATACACTGTTATTCAGTAAGATCGTCATAACAAAGTTCATTCATTCATCATGTATACAAAGACAATCTAGGTATACATAGTGCACCTATACATCATACATATACAGTTTGGTTCGGTTAGGTTAGGTAGCTGTAGGTTACCGTTATTATGGCTATTCTTAAGGTGAGATTAGCTGGGGGGGACTAATCTTCAGGTGACCCCAAACATATATAACGTATTTTTATTTGTGTGTGTGTATGTGTGCGTGTGTGTGTGTGTGCGTGTGTGTGTGTGTGTGTGTGTGTGTGTGTGTGTGTGTGACGGAAGAAGAGAGGGTAGGAGGAGAAGGAGAAAAAATAGGAGAATGAGGGAGAAGAGGAGATGGCAAGGTGGAGAGGGAGAGGGAAGAGGAGGTGGAAGAAGAAGAAAATGAAGGAGAGAAAAAGTGGGAGAAGGAGTAGGAAGAGGAGGAGGAGGAAGAGGAAGAGGAGGAGGTTGAGGAGGAAGGGATAAAGGTTTAACACAGGAAGAAGGTCGAGAGAGATATATGCACATGACAGTCAACAGGTGGCGTTAGTGTGGCGTTACGGGTAGTGTAGTGGTGGTGATGATAGTGGTGGTAGTGTAGTGGTGATGATAGTGGTGGTAGTGTAGTGGTGGTGATGATAGTGGTGGTAGTGTAGTGGTGATGATAGTGGTGGTAGTGTAGTGGTGGTGATGACAGTGGTAGTATAGTGGCGGTGGTGGTAGTGTGGTGGTGGTAGTAACCTTCAACCACCATCACCACCACCGACTCCCTACGCCTGACCTTTCTCAACCCTCGTCGCCTCATTCCATTTTCTACTCTCATATTTCCGCATAACTTCTTCTTCTGTGCTAATATTATACCAGTTTTTGGCAGCCTTCAGTTGTTAACGTTTTTTTATGTCTCATTGTGATAACAGTAACGAGTGATTGGAAATAATGTTAGTTTAGCCTTAACACTGTTATTTACTTGATAAACTTATACACACCTTCACAGTTACTTATAGATGTACTCCAAAAGTGACCGATATTCTTATAAATATCAATAGAATAGTCGAGGAAATAAATGAACAGGAATTAACAGTGAATATTGTACAGGAAGATGGAATTTTTTATATCAGTAGAGAATTAAACATCATGGTAACCCGGCAAAGACGTGAATAGGTCTGAGATTTCGTTTAGTGGTGAAGTAACCTAACCTAACCTAACCTAACCTAGAATGCCTATCTATTGCACTGTGACCACAACAACATTTCAGAACTGCATAACTAACTAAAAAAAATATAGCGTTTTTAAGGACATTAGAGGAGATCATCTGACTCGTAAACATTGCTCACGATTAACATGTCAACCGTGGCGCCACCTTGGTTGACCTATGTCTATGATGGTGTACTCCGGTGGTCAGAGGCGCCACCTTGGTTGACCTATGTCTATGATGGTGTACTCCGGTGGTCAGATCACGAACTGACATTACAAAACTATAAAAATAATCCCAAGGTTCAGTTGATACCCACATGACATTGTTTAGTGTTAGTTTTCTTATAATACCTAAAATAAGATTCTTACTCTACAGTGAGGAGTTTTTTGTTTATTTTTACTAAGGTCTGGCGGTGGTAGACTAGTGTTAGAGTTAGGTGAAGTTCCTTGGTCAGTATTTTGTTTGTCTAACCCACGTCTTCACGGTTAGTGCCGGTTCGTTTCCTCAGCCATACTTACACTACACGTCGTGAACACAACCAAAGGCAAAAAAATACGAAATACACGAGTGTACTATCCACAACACAAACAACACTACATACACACTACAACACTTGCAACACACAACAGAAACACCATACTACAACACAAACAAAGCAAACACTACAAAACACAAACTACAGACCGATGTAATACAGTATTTCAACAACGCCTGACATGAAAAACATTATGTGGCTCAGAAGGTAACATTTAGCAGCAAGTTTGGTAGAGAACAAAATTAATTCACGTATACCATTGTTGTGTGTGTGTGTGTGATGGAGTGTGGAGGACAGTGTTAGCTACCTTATGTGTTCTCTCTCTCCACAACACACACACACACACACACACACACACACACGCACACACACCACCTCCACAACTGCTGAATATTCTAAAACAAATGAATCAAATCTTAAAACACAATAAACTCTTTCTTTGACGAAAAATTATTCAGACCAAAATTATTGAAGAATCCTACGTGTAAATAATGACCGAATTTAAGATAGTTACCTGTGTGTTAGCATAATGTATATAGGTTGATCCCGGCCAGCTATGTTAATGGCGGGTAAGACACAAGAACATCTGCAATACGGATTATCCTACAAACTCAACGAAATATTTTAGTGAGCCAAGTAGAAAGTGAAGAAATTTAGAACTTGTGAGAAAAGTATCCAGACTGATATATTTACTTAGGAGGAAGGGAGCCTCATGGATGACGGATCTACCACAGCGGAAAGATTGTGTATACTGTGTTGTGGCGAGTGATGGTGTAGCGTCTCGGATACACATTAGTTCAACTTACCGTGATAACACACTTGCTACATCCTCACCTAATACCTCACTTCCCTCCTACGCCAATGCCTCACCTGTCATCTACCTCCTACGCCCATGCCTCACCTCTCATCTACCTCCTACGCCCATGCCTCACCTGTCATCTACCTCCAACGCCCATACCTCACCTGTCATCTACCTCCTACGCCCATACCTCACCTGTCATCTACCTCCAACACCCACACCCTAGTTGTCCTCCACCACACACTGGTACTATAGTAGATGTGGGCCACGGGCGACCTGGGAGGCCTGGGAAGGAAGGAAGGAAGGAAGGAAGTCCGGTTGTTCTACTACACTAGACTGGCCGACCTTCCTTCCCTGGTGGAAAGTAGACACACAGGACAGTGGACACTGGGCGGTGCCTCATCCATTCTTGTACAACTCACCTTCCGCGAGGCTAGACGCACATGATGCTGTCCGCCACACACTCTGTCATCTTACCTTCTTTTTATTATTTCTTTATCGTAATTTTATTTTGTAGGTGCGCGTGATCCAGGTATATGCTGATAACCACAAGGGAACAAGAAAACACCAAGTTCCCAAGCGCTTTCATGTAATTCACATTATTTAGATACTAAATATTACTGTGTTTAAAATTCAAATGTTTGGAAACGTGAATGTGCTGATGATGACGACGATGATGATGATGATGATGATGATGATGATGATGATGATGATGATGATGATAATGATGATGATGATGATGATGATGATGATGATGATGATGATGAGGGTAGATCGAGCTTAACCCCAATCGGTTTGAAGGTCCTCCATCAACTTTTTCTGGGAGCGACTTCCTCTCAAGGTCTTCTGAGAGTCAACCAGATTAAGCAGGAACTATCCATGAGAGTTTGGGGGAATTATCGTCGACGCTACCTGATGCTTCTCAAGTGTATGAGAGGAAAGTTGTTACAAAAACGTGAAGGTCAGCCAAAGAGTGGAAGTTTATGGGGTACGAGTGCTGTTCCTAGAGTCTTTTGCTTCGTTACTCCGGTGAATAAAAGGAAACCATTACTGAGTTACAGTATATCTGATTCTAGAGCAGGAACAGAGCACTGAACTTTCCTAAAACTCAGATTTAGTGAAACCTCCATATAACGGATTTTGGTCTAACGGACTAACCTTTTATATATAGTCCGTTAGGAGGTTTCATATATAACATACTACCCTCTCTCATATAGTCCGTTAGAAGAAGGTTTTTATATATAACGGACTTTGTTCTAGCGTACTTACCTTTCACCTAGAGACGCTGCGCTGGGTCCTCACACAAACTTCCGCTCCAAGAAAAAAAAAGTCATGTCGTTATTAAACCCAGACTGTGTGACCTTTACAAGTAATAATAATCGCCATTGTTCTTTAAGTCATGACAGTGGTGCTCATTCTTCATCCTCTGCATACAACAACACTTCCGTTTGCCAAGTACTTACCCCAGTTCTGGGTATCACCCGTCACTCAACAGGGTGCAGGACTCTGTTATGGAGTGTTCAATATAATAATAATAATAATACTAATAATAATAATAAACGGTTTATTAATAGAGTTGCAGCCGGTAGCTGAAAATATACAGACTTACATTTGATTTAGACATAATGATATAATATGCATTGAATACATTTACAGGGCTGCACAGTACATAAATCAGGAGTTGTTTATTATTTTAACAATAGATGGGATGGTGCTGTTCTTATATCTATCGGTGCGGGCTCTTATGAGCTGAATTTTGTTGTAGTGGCGGACTGCGCGAGTTGGGTGGGGGGCTGCAGGTGGCAGGAGGTGGCGATGACGAGGGTGGTGCAGTAGTCCACTGGGATGTCATTGGTCACTTGCCCACAACCATAACATTTCAAGCTTCCATACTTATCTTCTCTCTCTACTTGTCGTCTATCTTCCTCACTTTCAGTAGCTGTACATGTAATAGATTAATTTTCTTATGTTAATGAATATTTGTTTCATGATTGTTTTGTTAGTTTATATTCCATAAGTGAGTAAAGTTATGTTTGTGTACGTGATGTGTTATAGTTTATGTGTGTCTGAATGGGTCAGTTTTTTATGAGTGAGAACACTTATTTACGTGTTATGTCCGGGCATGATGACCACTGACGCTGTGTGTGTGTATTACAGGGTGTACAAACGAGGCGACCATGGAGGCAGGCACCTGTGGGTCGACGCCTGCTGCTGCTGGAGAGGCCTCGAGCAAAACATCACTTGCTACCAGACACATTCTCGTCTTAATGGGCTTCCTCGGCTTCGTCAATATTTACATGCTGCAGCTCAACTTCCTGGTGGCGCTGCCGGTCATGGTCAACCACACGGCCATTGACGGCCAGGACTATGGCATCTCGAGTATGGGGATCCAACCTGTAATGAAGGAGGGCCCAACGGTACACCTGGGGAGTGACCCACCTGACGAAGGTGAGGCAGCCTCTGACGTGGGCTCCATCCCATCACGCTCTGTGGTGGGTCACGGGGATGTTATAGGCCCCATCAGGGAGGGTAAGGAAGCCGGTCTCTACAAAATGGTGCCAGGGACGACCCAATTACAGGCAGGCAACGTTCACGATGATGATGGGTTCATTATGACCCTCCCGCAACATGCCACCTACGGCGACACTTCCCACTTGATGAACGTCCCGGGAGATATTGATAGAGGCGGACACCCTTCACTGCATGACGCCACGTTGACCACACCAGACGGTGATGCGGCGACTACTGTTTTATCTGACCTGACGGACACCTCCAGTCCTGATAGTGAGTTGTTCTACACCACAAGACTTAACGATGACTCGGGTCTAGAAACCTTCACCTCTGCTGGTCAACTCTTCACTGGCATCTCTGAGTTAGATGAAGTGTCCACACATTTTCCCGAACACGAAGTACTCACAACGGATGTTCCTCAAAGCAAGACTTTTGTTCTTTTGAAAAACCAAAACTCCCCGCGAGCAGAAATTGTTGCATCAACCATGGCTGAAAATATCTTCCACTCCACCAGTGATGACGTCACAGCAATGTCACCTGATCATCATGAATTGATGGCGACGACCACCACCAAGAGTAAAGTGACACCACCACTACTTCCTGAAGTGACAACACCTCAACATCCTGAAATGAGGACAACACCTCCACATCCTGAAGTGAGAACAACACTGAAACTTCCTGAAGTGACAACACCTCAACATCCTGAAGTTACAACACCCCAACATCCTGAGGTGAAGACAACACTACAACTCCCTGAAATGAGGACAACACCTCAACATTCAGAAGTGACAACACCTCAACATCCTGAAATGACAACACCTCAACATCCTGAAATGACAACACCTCAACATCCTGAGGTGAAGACAACACTACAACTTCCTGAAATGAGGACAACACCTCAACATCCTGAAGTAACAACACCTAAACATCCTGGAGTGACAACACCTCAACATCCTGAGGTGAAGACAACACTACAACTTCCTGAAATGAGGACAACACCTCAACATCCTGAAGTAACAACACCTAAACATCCTGGAGTGACAACACCTCAACATCCCGAAATGAGGACAACACTTCAACAACACCTTCAGTGACAGAAATGAGGACAACACTTCAACATTCAGAAGTGACAACACCTCAACATCCTGAACCGAAGACAACACTACAACTTCCCGGAGTGACTACACCTTCCCAACACCACATTGTCACCACAACTTCTCCAGAAAATGTTGCTGCTTCACCGTCAGAGGTAAAACAATTTACAGCAGCTCAAGGAAGCATGACGTCTAGCACGGCAAGGAACGATGACAAACAGTTCCCTCACCAACAAGATGTTACCCTAACGACTACAGGACAAGGAACATCTTCAGATGCAATGAATGTTTCTCCTTCAACTAAATTTAACACTCCTTTCCCACCCAGTACTCCACAAACTACCTCCAGCCACAAGACAACCACAACAGTTGACGCAGAAAACACCCATACATCACTGATCAGTGATGTCATCACCGTCACAGCGTCAACACATGACAGGTTAGCCACACACAGCTCCCTGGGTGGCGCTGCAAACGCTAAACGAACCCACAAGAAGAGATCCGTCGAGGACAAGCATCTGAACTCTGCCAACACCAGCGACGAACACGACACTCAGGGATGCTCGCCCACTGACGACTGTGAGCCAGGCAAGGTCAGGAATACTACACAAAAAGAGAGAGAAGCAGTGGAACTAGGTCAAATAAATGAAGGAGATATTAACGGTACGGACATATTTGAACTTGGTCAAATTAACGGTACAGACAGATTTGAACGTGGTCAAATTAACGGTACAGACAGATTTGAACTTGGTCAAATTAACGGTACAGACAGATTTGAACTTGGTCAAATTAACGGTACAGACAGATTTGAACTTGGTCAAATTAACGGTACAGACAGATTTGAACTTGGTCAAATTAACGGTACAGACAGATTTGAACTTGGTCAAATTAACGGTACAGACAGATTTGAACTTGGTCAAATTAACGGTACAGACATATTTGAACTTGGTCAAATTAACGGTACAGACATATTTGAACTTGGTCAAATTAACGGTACAGACATATTTGAACTTGGTCAAATTAACGGTACAGACATATATAACGGAACTACTAACGGAAGCCTCATCTGGTACCTAAGTGACGACTGGGATGTTAATGGAACAAACTCAAACTCCTCTGAGAGTGAATCATCTTCATCGTCCAGTTCATCGTCATCGTCGTCCAGCGAGTCTCTGAGCACCGAGTCCAGCGAGTCCAGCGAGTCCAGCGAGTCTAGCGAGGAGTCCAGTGAGGAAAGTGACGAAGACGAGGACGACAGTAACGAGGCGAGAGAATACAACTCAGCGGAACTGGATGCCTTACACTTCTACGGCAACGACTCCCGGGAATACATTGAGGGCCGTCGCTACCTACACCACAATGGTTCCTCCCGCCCTTATGATCATTCTGACAGTGATAGTGACAGCGACGAGTCTCTTTATGATGATGATGACGACGATGACGATGATGATGATGAGGATGGTGATGAAGACGATGAAGAAGACGAAGATGGTGAAAACGAATCGGCGGTAAGTTACACTAAGCATTATTTACTAACTCGTTATGATGGTCAATTAACAACATGCTATAATAAAGAGAGAAATTGTGTGTTGAGGTGTCCATAGTAATATTACCTAGAGTCTTAATAAGTATGTGGGCACAAATCTTGAACAAATAGCAGTTGATCAGCTCATGAATGATGACATGTTGAGCCAGCCGCCATGTCTGTTGTTATATAAACTAAATTCTTTTGTCTGGGGTTTTATTTTGAGTTAAGATATATAAAGATGTTTAATTTCCTCTACAATATAACCTGTGAGTAGATCTAGTATGGTAACAAACTGTGATATAAGTTTGTTACTCTACACACTACAATAAGCAATAGTCAGTACACCGCCTCTCGCCTCGTGTTGCAGGAACATGTGAGGAAGAACGCTAATGGAGAGATAATGTTGGCCAACCAGAAGTTCCCCTCTACAGTGTGTTTTGAACCCCGCATGGTGGAGCGTCCTCAACCCCAGCAGGTAATTAACAGTTAAAGTTGTCTTCCGTAAAGCTCTAAGAAATAAGAACGTTTCACCTACGTTCTCGCCAGTATAACGGATCATAGAAAACGGGTGCCTAGATTTTTTTTTTATAAACTATAACTTAAAAAGCTGGGCAATCTTTTTCGATGCATGGTGAGGTCTTAACATGAGGTTAGATTATGTCAGGTTAGGTTAATTTAGAATGAGATTAGGTAAGGATAGGTTAAGTTAGGTTAGGTTTAGCTAGGTAGGTGCTCATATTATTCATCTGCAACTTGTATTATACAGTATATTTGTGTGTGTGTGTTATGTACTGGAGGTTAAAATGAAATATAAAGTTAAACTAGCGGCAAATAATTGAGAACTCCGAGGGAACAACTAGATTGGCATGTTAGAATGGGCGAGATGTGATTACAGGTGAGTACTTATCTCGCTCAAGTGTGTAACTATTGGGTACAGGTGTGTCACTATCTTGTAAGGGTGTGTCAGTATCTTGTACAGGCGTGTAAATATCATGTACAGGTGCTAAATCACTTGGAACATGTAAGTAACTTGCATTACAGGTAAATCATCATATGTACAGGTAAAATCATCACTAAGGTGTAAATTTGTACAGGTGTGTAAATCATCTCGGTACAGGTAAAAATTTATGCAAATAGCAAATATCTTGTACAGGTGTAACTATCTTGTACAGGTGTGTCACTATCTTGTACAGGTGTGTGACTATCTTGTACAGGTGTGTCACTATTTTGTACAGGTGGCAATTAGTTTGTGTGTCACTATTCTGTACAGGTGTGTCACTATCTTGTACAGGTACAAATATCTTGTACAGGTGTGTCACTATCTTGACAGGTAACTATCTTGTACAGGTGTGTCACTATCATGTACAGGTGTGTCACTATCTTGTACAGGTGTGTCACTATTTTGTACAGGTGTGTCACTATCTTGTACAGGTGTGTCACTATTTTGTACAGGTGTGTCCTATCTTGTACTGGTGTGTCACTATCTTGTACAGGTGTATAACTCTTGTACAGGTGTGTCACTATCTTGTACAGGTGTCACTATCTTGCACAGGTGTGGCACTATCTTGTACAGGTGTGTCACTATCATGTACAGGTGTATCACTATCTTGTACAGGTGTGTCACTATCATGTACAGGTGTGTCACTATCTTGTACAGGTGTATAACTCTTGTACAGGTGTGTCACTATCTTGTACAGGTGTCACTATCTTGCACAGGTGTGGCACTATCTTGTACAGGTGTGTCACTATCTTGTACAGGTGTATAACTCTTGTACAGGTGTGTCACTATCTTGTACAGGTGTATAACTCTTGTACAGGTGTGTCACTATCTTGTACAGGTGTATAACTCTTGTACAGGTGTGTCACTAGCTTGTACAGGTGTGTCACTATCTTGTACAGGTGTCACAATATCGTGTGTGTTAAGGTGTTATCGTGTACTTCAGAATGGGGAGTTCGAGTGGCCAGCAGATCTTCAGGAGCGGTTACGATCAGCCTTCTCCTGGGGCTTCATCCTTACGCAACTGGTGGGTGGACGGCTGGCGGGCGTCATGGGCGGGAAGCTGCTACTGCTGCTGGGCGTCTTCTTTGCTGCTCTCCTCACTTTGCTCACGCCCACTGCTGCGATCTTAGGCCCGTACTGGCTCTTGGCCGTTCGGATCATGGTGGGCGCGTCAGAGGTAAACATTAACTTTGGTCTAAGACTTTATCACCTCCCTGAGTTCTCTTTTTAATTTGTGTTGTCACATTTACTGAACCTTTTTGCTTAGTCATTCTTTAGTGTATGATTCACCAACATCTTTTTTTTCTTCAAGGCTTTTATTGTTTAATTCAAGGTGGCCGGAATCCAAAGAAAATACTCGCACATTCTCCATTCATACGTTATTATGTAATTTGTGTTTTGTTATGTTACAGTACTCCCCTCCACAACAAGGCCCCAAATCTGGCTCACTTCTGTTATCTCACACAAGTTGTCTTAAAGTGTGTGTGTGTGTGTGTGTGTCCCAGTTAGTTATGAGTATTGTATGTGTGTATAACCAAGTGTTGTGTTACAGGGCGTGTGTATACCCGCCATGCAGGCCGTCATAGCACAGTGGGCGCCGCCCCTAGATCGTACCGTCATGGTTGCCTACACTTACTCTGGTGAGTTACAATAAATAGTTCATAAACTACAAAAATAACATAAACAAAATTATTAACAAAACAGAGAACATGATGTTAGCTTTACAGTTCTCTTAGCTGGTCATCGTCATTACTTTGCTCTGATAATAACCTTGAGAGTTAACTGTTGAGACTACTTATATTTGTTTATGTTGAAGACCACTCGGATGCATTATAGTACACAGCAGAAGGAGTTTCATAAAGTGGAAAAGTAAACTGTGTGTTTGTTCCTGCAGGTCTGGCAGTGGGGGCAGCCCTTGGTGGACCAGTGTCAGAGTGGGTAGTGACAGTCATCGGGTGGCGCGGACTGTTCTACTGTCAAGGTGTACTGGCGATGGTGTGGTGTCTCATGTGGCAGCTCCTGGTGGCCGAGAACCCCTCCAAGCACCCCAGGATTACGCCACAGGAGAAGAATCACATCACGTCTGCTATCGGGGCACAACACGCCGGCCGAGGCCTCCCGGTGCCCTGGACTCATCTGATCAGGTATATATAGTGAGCCTCGCGGTGTAAGACTTCACCTGTTATAATATTTGGTGAGACTCTGAAACTTCCTGGACTTTACCTTCAAGGAACAGATTTAACAACTAATAAGGAATGGGGTTAGATGACTTGCAGTGGTCATAGTTGTTGTAAATATTTGTGTTTGAGACAGAGATAAATGTTGGAGCTGCACGACCGCCATAACCATGTCTGCTATGATTGATATACGATGTGACAGATCTTGTGTAGTATAGTGTCAGTGTAGACGTGTATAACTATGTGCAACGGTAACCTGTGTATTTATCACTATACGCCAACCTCCCGAACGGCTAGTAACCTGATAAGTGGTGAAATAAATAAATAAATAAATTAAGGCAGTGAGGAAATATTCGTACTAAAATGTTGGTCTCACAGGTCACGACACGTGTTAGCTGTGGTGTTGGCCGAGCTAGGTTTCTCCTGGGCTTGGTTCACCTTACTACACCACGCCAGGGAGTACACTGTCACCGTCCTTCATGTTCCTCCTCATCAGGTCAGTACACACACACACACACACACACCCTCCTCAGCCAGGTACTCAACTTAAAGTACTGAAAATATGCCTTTTTATACTGTACAATGAGTAACAAGGTGTGATAGATATTATTCAACAAATAAGAAGTTATGATAAATGCTACACAATAAATAACAACTTAACCTAACACCAACAGGTGCGGGTGGCCTGGGGTACAGCTCTCTTCGCCATGTGGGTAACAGCACTAGTCTACGCTACCCTCGCTGACTGGATCCGACGTACTAACCGTCGCTCCACTGTTGTCGTTCGTCGCATCGCGAACACCATATGTAAGTGTTGTATTCCGTGAGTCATTGTATGGGAGTTTATTTGGAATGAACGGGAGCATATGAGCTTTTTATAACATAGTTCAGTGTACTGTACAGTACATCCACTCTTCCAGATGATTGATGAATTATATTAAGACTTAATTAATTACAGGTGCACTGGTGACGGCAGGCTGTCTCATAGGTGTAGCCCAGTCGAGCTGCTCACAGGTGGCGGTGTTAGTGTGGGGCTCCATGGCTGTGGTGCTGGGCCTGGCCGCCTCCTTCTCTACCTTCCTCGTCAACGGTATAGAGTTAGCACCTAACCATGCTGCGGCCATCGCTGGCTTCAGTGGCACTATCAGCGCTTCCGTTAAGATCCTCTCCCCGCTGTACGTCGCCTACCTCACCGACGGACAGGTAATGGTGCCTTTTTTAACTCCACGAAAAATACAGTAGTGGTATATGTGGTTAAGTTGATGACGTCACATAGGTCACAGTGACTTAATAATAAAAGCAATTTAATCTTGGTGGAGATGGGTTACTGTTCAGTTATACAGAAAGCAGAACTTATGTATCCTCTCTCCTTTCGAGACATACATAATTTATTGTCTAATTCATCTTAAAAAGGTAACGAAGCAATAATGAATTAATTTTGTTGCAGGCGACGCTGGAGCGGTGGAGGATGGTGTGGTATACAGGCGCCATCATCCTCACACTTACTAATTGCCTCAACTTCCTGATGGCGTCGTCGAAGGAGCAGGTGTGGAACAGACCTGTTGCAGTACCAGTGTACCCCAAAAGGGAAGCCAACAACCTGGCCCAGCGAAGAGTACGACCGGGGCCACATCCACAAGGCCTGCCCAGAGGCAACAAAAATCCCGCCTATATGTACACCGAACACTTGTAGGAGCCTCTGAGCGAAGATTTTATACCTTATGAAAAACTTTCCCTCTACATCTTAGGAAATGTCTTCGTCAGTGTCAGTGTATGGAGGAGAGGATCACCATAGAAGGGGTGTGCGGGCGGGCCTCTCTAGGGGCTGGCCAGCTCTGGGTGAAGTCGTGCTTGATCAGTGTTACCAACTACTATCTCTCCTGCCGTTACATCTGTTCTGGTTAATGCTCAGAGTTTATGACTGTGATAGTAACAAGGAATAAACTCTTCGTGATAACACACCAACATTTACAAGTGTTAATTCAGGACAACTCAAGTTTTCAGTGCAGTTGTCGGTACAGTTCATAGAATGGGTAAAAACTTGACACAACTTTTGTAACATAATTTAGCATAAAGCTTATTACAAAAAAGTACAAGCAAAAAAATCTTCCAATGAGCCGTAATCGTTGGATCAGGCATGACGTCACACATGGTAATGACACAACAGATCCCGAGGACCACAGTCACTTGTCAGACACAACTCTGGCAAGAGACCTTCCAATGAAACTCTATCACAAGTTTCACACAAGAAGATATTTGGATTAAATACGGTACAGCAGTTATCTTGGATTCTATTGATGACATCGGACACAATATTGAAAGAGGACCGTCAAAGGAACATTATTTATTGAGAAGAAAAACTGTGTAAAGTTTACGAGGTGATGGTCGACCACAGCAGTACTTCAGGTTTAGTAATAAAGTAGTAATTTAGTTTTGGACGGCGCCAGTCACCATGAGGGAACTGTTGACCAAAATGTTTATACTGTAGAACTCAATTTCATAAACGGAAATATAATGTCCACACTAACATTTTCCTGTTTAGTTCACAATAGCAGTTGCTCTCTACCAAAAGTATTAATTAATAACAGTTAGACTTTCATTATTAAGCATTTGATTTTCTAAATGATACTAAATAAGTCTGTACATTCAGTATAAATAGCACTTGTGTTCTACACAATATTTGCAAAACATTGTGAAGAACGATAACTATGTATTTTTATCAATGCTTTATTATTGTGAGCATTATCTATACAATGCTTAATTAAAAAGTAATTATTTACACGATAACCAAATATCTTGTCTTCACACTTTAATGTATTTGTAACGTAGTGTTAACAAAATACAACTTTGCCCCTTAAAAAAATAAATATATACAGATCGGTTTTATCGGTTTTATAATGTTTTAAGCATGTATGTTTATTTTTCGTTCTGAGCCTGAGTGAACATCTCTTGTCAAAGTCAAGTCACATTTTCACCGAAAAGACCAAGTGAAGCAAGAGGCAGTGTCGTAGACCACTGGCATGGCTGCTGGTGTCTCTTGTGATGGCATCAACCAAGTGATGGCAGATGCTTCACGTGGAAGCTTATTTTGTTCGATGATATTTTTCAAAATATGGTTATGTATTTCTTGAATATTAGAAGAAAAAAGAACAGTTTTCCCCTGGAGCTGTCCTTTACGAGAGCACTACTGTGAGTTTCTTGTATCTTAGTTTCTTGGTAAACGTGAAGACTTACTTCATGACAGGTAAGACTCTACCTTAGGACGAGGTCCTCCACATGAGTGCTGCTGTTGGATAAATGATCCTCAGAAGACCTTCAGTGACATCGCTGTGACTAAATCCGCCAAAATACTATTTACATGGAGAACACTCTGTAGATACTTGTTGCTCTCATTCAGTATAGTAGTAGCGTGTATGTATATGATACTGTGGCGTGACAGAGAAAATAAACAATAAGTGAGAGCAGTGTGCACGAGGTCACTGGAGAAACATCCTAGTCGCTCTTGAAGTAATACATAGAATAACGTTAGATATGCGTCTGTTACCCGATTTACGAAAAACAAATTAAATTAAAATTTGACTTGTCTTAATGAGCTAAATAAACATCGTAGTTTGTTCATAAACCAAATTTGCCCTCCGGTAGTTACCATTATTAAATGAAGTTGCATTATAAATACTGATGAATAAACACAAACTTACATATTAATATAACTAATGAGAACATTTGGTAAAAGTATACAAATTTTGGTATTACATAATGTTTCATATACATATTCCAAAGTTACTACACACTGGGTGCTTAAACATTTTAACATGTGACTACTGTAAATGTAAATCCTAGTGTTTACATCACGCCATATATTTTACCACATTTATCTTTAATAGTTAATATAAACATATCAATAAGAAATATTTTAGTCTCTGGAGAAGTCATATACTGTAGGTCGTCACATGTTTTCACAAAAAAAAATATGATACATTATAATTATAATGCCAGTCTTGCATACAAAGATAGCCATAAACCTTTTAAACCTCAGCCACTACGCTAACCAACTTATCCGGTAACGTTATAATTACTGGAGCGAATAAAAATCTATTGGGAGGTGAATTAGTACTTGACGTAGTGGTCGTTTATCCACAGTTACAGTTTGTTGTATGAACGTGTATGTTGCTCCTGTTGTATGAACGTGTATGTTGCTCCTGTTGTAAGGACGTGTATGTTGCTCCTGTTGTATGAACGTGTATGTTGCTCCTGTTGTAAGGACGTGTATGTTGCTCCTGTTGTATGTGGTTGTATGTACCCTGTTGGTGTATGTTGTACAGTATGTACTGAATGTGTTGAATGGTGACAAACGCGACAACTTAATACTGCTCATGTTGACAAATTTTCTTGGCAGATAAAACAACAATAGAGTAACGAGAAAGCATTTTATAAGAAATGTGTATACACCAACTGTTTTTGTTTTCCCACGTCGAACTGCGCCCCCAGTTTACTGTGATAATATACCATAGGCACTCATGTACTGTAGCTGTTATATTCTGCTAACATTGGTGGTTTTTGCAGTCACACTCATATTTATTGTTCCTGGCCATTAACAGAAACCTGGTTTGGTTTTCGCGCTGTGGTCTGTTTCATGGAAGATTGTTTAATATTCCTATACATTATTCAACCTTTACTTCTCATGATTTATATATTCTTTAGATTTAGAATTTTACATCTAGACAGGGTCGCAATTTGCGTCATTTTATACATAGCTTTCTCCTTGGTCTATAATACACTTCTTAATTCAGACATAGATATTCGAGCAATTATCGAGATATGTTGTATCTCAAACGCCGAGATTAATACTACACTTATTTGTGTGTGTGATGAGCACATATGATTCCCAATTCAGATGTACTTTCTACTTGCATGTAAGACATTATAATGTACATTGTACTTCGTCTGAACGATGCATATTATCAAATGTTTATCTGGACTCGTTATTCTCTCTCTTATGGGTGACGGCGACACACCACCAGTCCTTGTTCAGTGGCTCAGGTGACAAGGAGTTGATGAAGGGTGGTACTCCAGCCACTGCTTCAGGGCCACATCCCAGGGCCGACTTGGTCACCTAAACAATTCTCTTTGCCTAATTATATTGACTGTGTGTAAATATTGTGTAATAAATTTTATTTGTGATCTTTTGTAAATATCTGCATCTATCTCTTGAGGCAAATAGTTAACAACAGAAACGTATCGTTAAGATGTAAAGGAAAAAACGATGTGTTTAGGTTAATAACTTTATGGCAACAAGTATAATATCACCTTATCCAAAATCCTGTGCAGGTGTTCGAGAAATGAACAAATACTGTAGTATAAAGTTGAGAGAAATCAACACAAGCTCTACTTTTTTAACATTATGATAATTCTGGTCCGGCTTTCCTAGTAAGCCACACCTGTTAACGAACCGCCAGCAGTAGGTGTTAACAGTTAACTGCATAACCAAATGAATATCTAAATATTTTCGAATCAGATAAATACATTCATCATCAAAGAAGTACCATGAATCGTACTGCAAGATTTTCCATGAAGTTAAGAGTATTTCTGTCATCTTATGTGTCTGGCTTAGTAGTCAAACTTGTGAATTTGTACAGGTGTACAGTAAAAAAAGAAAATACTTCTCTTTCGACACAGCGGAGGACTTGTGGGGAGAACAGTAGTGATTGTTGGGTGTCAGGTGAAGTTTTCCTTCTTCAACTCATTGCATTCCTGCTAATATAATGTATTCATATGTATTGTACTTATATATTAAAGTTACTTGTATATTTTACAATGATATTATGTAAACAAGACTGTGAGTTTCTTTAGCCCTTGTTTTACTATCAATAACATTAATAACAATGACTACGTGAGTGTCCTCTTGAAGAACTTGACACTATAACAAACAGACTCAAGTTGGAAGTCAGTCACCTCCAAATTGAACTCGACCTTAGCAAAGAGAATATTCATGATTAATTTAAAAATTCTAGTCCTAATTCATCCTCATGCAGAATAATAAAGAGCAAGGACGTTATCCAGAGGAAAGCTGCTCGTATCATCCTTGGGGCTCCTCAGTGGACACGCTCTACTTCTCTATATACCAAACTTGTTCAAGAAACAAAGACAATGAATCAAACTAATTAAGTCACCCGGATCAGAGAATCTAACCTGGAGAGAAGATGCTGTCATCCACCATGTAGAGGAACACTATAGTCGGAGAATGTACAAGTATATGCTATTACAGATAACTTACACCATTCCCAGATAGACGATGGGCAATTGAACCTCGCCTAACCTAACCGTCTCAGTGGGATGTCAGAAATCACCTAAAAAGCTTGGTTTTCCCCCTTACAGGATCGTGTCCAGGAGTTTTACCTAAAAAGTACCGTTTCCATTCTACGGGATCCTCGGGGCAACTATGTCCAAGCCAACTTGACTCCTACTGTCCGAGGCCGACCTCCACCTAGAAGACAGTGGCGAGGGTCACTCATCCGAGCCCTTCAGGAAAACGACCTCCTGCCTGATATTGTTGTCACCCCTGCTGTTGGTTCGTCTCCTTCTCCCTGACTGGATTTTCAACCTGAAGTGAATACCCTCAGTGGACCGCTCCCGAAATCCCACGTGAACCCTGTTATTCTCTGCAAATACCACCTCTCCAGGATCGCCCACTGGTCCCCAGGTAGGGTCGTCCTCTACACTGATGGTTCTGTTGACCTCACTGCAAGTCGGGCCGGGGCTGGTGTCTACATCTCCTGTCCGGATGCCCCTGAACCTATCAAACTTTCTCTCAGAGTTTCTGACGGGGCATCCTCCACTCAGGCGGACCTAATAGCCCTCCTTGCTGCCCTTCTCGCTGAGGAAGAAGCAGATGGTTTCTGCCCCTTGCTTGTCTGCTGCGATTCCAGGTCTGCTCTCGACGGGATCGCATTTGGATCAGGGGAAAATAAGGACCTCATCCTCCGAATACGAGGGTTAACATCCACACTTCAGGATGCAGGCCGTCCTGTGACATTCCTATGGATACCTAGTCATGCCGGTATCTTGGGGAATGAGGGCAGCAGATGGCCTTGCCAAGACTGGCTGTAACAAAGCCACACCTGACTACGTTGTTCCTCGAACACTTTTACAGCTAAGGACCCAAATTAGCCGCAAACAAAGAGCAGCTCGGGAAGCAGCCATCCCCCTGGACTCCCCGCCCACCTGGTATGATGTGCCCCGTAAACTTCCTGACCTCTCCTATGTCTATGGGAAAGGGTCACTGAAAAGGGACGTGATTGCTGCCCGTATCATCATTGGGTATGACTTTGCTTGGGAGATTGGTATCCCCGCATCCCCTGAGCAACGCTCTTGTGCATTATGCAGAAGACCCGACAGCCGCACCCTTATCCACTACCTCCTAAGATGTCCCCACACACAACGCTTCCGTGACGCCTGCTGGACCACCACTCCACGACCCCCTGACGGAGACACGATGATCCTCCCCATACTGGCCAGATATTTTGTAAATAATATTGATTATGTGTTAAAGGAAAATCCTTCCTTCCTTAGGCTTTAGTAAGCACCTTTATAATATTTATATATACTTGTGACACTTGCCAGATGCTTCTGGTGTTATTGTACAGGGGTACCCAGTGACAGCACTAGGATCCCGCTTCCTCTATCAAGGAATAAATTTTAAAATTGAAAAAAAAATGAATTGAGCAAGGTCGGAGTTACGTGCATCATGTATTTTATCTTGTCGACTCATAATACTGATTGGCTGGTGACTGGTGAGTAACCTTTATCAAGTCATACAACAAACATAGCAGTTCAAGGTGTTAGGTTAGGACCGTTAGGTTTTAAGTTCATAAATACAATAGCCAGGATTCTTTACAACAAAACTTCCTCCTAAATTTCACATGGAAGCAAAAATTAATATCTTGTTATAATTATCACCATTTATCAGGAAAAAAACAGTCGTTCGAGTGGTTGGTCTGTTCTTTGTTACTGTATTAATTTCTTCTATTAATTAACAAATGTGAAAATGTTTGACACTTGACACGAAACGATAATAATATTGATGGAAGTTATATGTGAGAAAATTACAACAAAACTCAGCAATATGGAAATAAAAATAATATCAACATTAGGGCGAACACAATGCTATATGCCACGGTAGGTTGCCAGATGGATAACAATAGTCCTCTATATGCAATAATGCAGCACAATACTCAACGTGATTAAAAATATATACATATACCAATATAAATTTAGATGTATTTTTATCATTGTATATATATTATTTTTTTTCAAATTACACATAATTTGGCACATAAATAATACCAAAATGGTTCCCTTCCATTGATCCTTAAATAATAATATTCGTGATTTACTGAGAGGTTGATTACTAAAATTTATCTAAAATATATTATTTCCTTCAAGATAACCAAGCAATATAAGTTAGATACTATTTCCTTTATATATGACCTGGCATTTGTGATTAAACGATAATATGAGTATGAGAGACGAGAGCATCAGCTGTGACACATTACAGGAGGAGCTGCTGTAGTCACCTGACTCTGACAGCTGTACCGCTAAGCTGTAATATCTAAAAGGTATGTGAACAGGTACAATATATCGTCTTCTACATGTACCATAGATAGTTATAGCAATGGATATAACTACGGAACAAGGAAATGAGGCAGCAAGTGAAGGAAAGTGGGTGTAACGTAATGGTGATTATTTTCTTAATTAGAGGTAAAAATATAAGTAGCCGAGGCTGTTAGGGGTCATGGTCCTCAAAGCTATGTAATGTGAACGACTCATATGACAGTTAAGTAAATTATTTCAATTTTGAGAAGTAAACATCGGGTTTTTATTTGTGTTCAGAAAGATTAATTTAACTTAGTCACGTCACGTTATTTATGTGTTAATATGTAAAATAGTCACATTTATTATCCTCACTTTATCTATGGTAAGTTTGTTATCTTTGGGTTGTTATAACTACAGGATTGTTTATTTTACTATAATGCTGTGGGCTATTGTCCTGTTAACATTATACTGGTTGTTATTTTATTATTATATTTTGGGTTATTAATCTGTGATAACTGAAGAACTATGGAGTTTGATTATATTTATACTGAACATCATAATTTGACTACTGACAAGTCTTACACTCAACAAATTCTTCCATCAATTTCATTCAGTTGTGAAGTAAGAATATGACCATTGTATTTGTTACTGATGTTTATGACTCACTACTGTGACTGTGCTATGCTAATGACAATGGTTTCCTATAAAGTGGACTGGACTCGAAGATGAGGGAAATATGGGGTTAAAATACTAATAAACAACAATTAACCTTTGAGAACCTAACCTAAAATATTACCATATCTAGACGTCTTTTGTAATTTAGGAAAGGTTAGGTCAGGTTCTCATTTTTATTTTTTATGGGGATTAGCCAATGTTATTGCAGCTTCAGCCCCCAACACGGTTAAAGCAATTTTTTGGGGGGGTGGGCGGTGATAACTTGGTAACCACTCATCTGCGACGGAAATGAAGGTAAAATTTGTATATAATCAGACCAAATATCATGGGACAAACCAAAATTTATGGTCGAACAGTAGTGGGGCTGAAACTGCAAATTTACTGATTAGCCCATCCAAGCAGAGGCCACAAGAAAAAGCTATTTTAATTATTAATGGTATCCCATTATGGTAGCTAGCAAATTTTTACCATCTATAATATTAATGTGTGCATTCTATATATATATACACCCCAGTATTCAAACTTTTAAATTTTAATCAGTAATAGTAGGACAATATCCATTAGATTGTCCCAAATTAATTTCAAATAAATAAATTAATAAATTTCAAGTGTACTCTATAATTAAACATCACACACATAAATATCCCTTATACTGTACATGTTGCGAATTCACACTAGCCCAATCGTATTGAAAATTCCCAATTGAAGCGTTCCGTCACTTACCCTCGCTCGGTCGCTGGGAAGCATTTATCAACAGTTGAAATGAAAACATGGTGTCCTTGGAAGGATGGAGATGCAGCATCCTCATTTGCAGTAAAAATTTGTAAAAAAGCAAAATGTACAAAAGATGCAATTCCTCCATATGATTTTGGTTATTTCTTGAGGTAAGAAATAAGTTTTCTTCTCTAGAGATTTTTTGCTAGGTAGTTGGTTCACCTGGACTCTTCTCCTAGACTATTACCTCTCTTTTTAACCTTTTTGCTCGTGGAAGTTTCCCTAAGCCAAATAATATTGTCTGGCAATAGCCAGAATACATTTCCAAAGTTCAACAATTGGCAGGAAAGGGTTAAGGAATACTATCCAATAGTAGTGTTAATCCTAAAATACATTTCTACCCAAACTCTAATTCAACATTCGTAGGTTTGTACAGTATAGTATTCTGTACCTCACAGCTTAATGTGCACTGTGGGATGTACCGGTACTTAATTTTATATTTAAGACAACATATTTCTCTCCTGAAGAAAATCATAATAATGATGAGGAATTGCAATATTTTTATTATTGTTTTTCTAGAGTACAGTACAGTTCAGTATATAACTTTTATGAATAATTGGTGAATGGATATCCACCATGTCCAGTGAACACCATTTCTGGCACTTGATCTGTTAAGAAGCTCTTCCCAGTGACTGACAGTGTTAACATCAGTCTGATGGTTCATACTGTACAGTACAGTACAGTATATGTAGATCCTTCAGCTTACTTAAACTGTACGTCAAGGTTCCATCCACCTTCACATTGAGTGATAGCTTGTAGCTTCAGGTTCACACCTCATTGCATGTTTTAAAGAAGAAAACTTTTGTGTTTCTCGTGGTAATTTGAGTACATTCGGTAATATAGTACAGTACAGTAATAAGTTTTAATATAGTAATTGAAAGTGACCTTTCTAATATGTTTTTATAATATTTTGGTCTTATGTGTATTGTGTTTCCGGAGTGAGGGAACTTTGACTGCTTGTTTTCAACTGTCTCTCCTACTCCTGTTAGTGATCATATTCATTTATCTTTTTTTTTTTTAAGGGTTGTGTAATATGGATGGCATGTCGTCGTACCAGAGCAGTGGCACCCGTAATGGGGACCTCCAGAAATATTCACACAGCATTGGTTCAAATATACAAAAAATTTCTCAAAATGGTAAGTACAGGTATATATAGTACTGTGCTGTTTAAAGCTAAACTGACGACTGAATCACATATAACGTACTACAGTACAGTACTGTATATGGAGAGGAAATTCCATTATATCGAGGATCCGTTAGAAGTGAAAGCCTCCACCTAACAGATTATATGGAAAGGCAAGTCAGTTATATGGAGGTTTAACTGTATTATAAATTGATTCATGTTATTTAAGCAGTTATACCATGTTGACCTGGAAGCAGATAATTATTGTGATGTCAGGTGTTTGTATAGTACGTACTCACTGATCTCTGTAAGAACGGGGGAGGAGGTGCTACAATATTTTACCGTGTGCTGTTTAAGTTGAGTCAACAATGTTGATTCTCCTCTAATAATTGCTTCATGTGTCTTTAAGTCTTCATCTGTTTGCATCCACTAACCTGCCAAGAGTGGTTAAATCATTTTAAATGACCTGGTTAGCAGCACCTTGCATGGTGTACAGTATTGTTGAATAATGTACAGATCATTACATGTACTGTTAGAGGATTTAGGTGAACTGTACATCCATGGGTGCAGAGGTTGAGGAAGGGTTGTTTGTACAGTATAGTATAAATAGACTAACAATGGGGGGTAGCCGGAGGACTTCAGGCCCCTGTAGTAAGCTGCATTACACTCTATTGCATTAGCTACTTTGTTTCAACCATTGCCCCCCCTGCAAAAAAAAAATAATAATAATAATAATAAATTTTAAGACCAGTCTTCTAATTATACCAAATCTTGTAAATATTTACTATTTTAGGACTTACAATAATTCAATCAGCTTTATAGTGGTGTGCCTTTTGTAACACTTCATGAATTATTTCAGTAAAGTCTATGCAGCAGCTTGTGAACCAGCTGGGCACGGATCAGGATAATCAACAACTACGAGCTCAGCTGTAAGTACATTTTATAGTCACGGGTCTTCCACCCTCAATAGAGCGTATTGTACAGTACCGTACCTCAAGGCCAGTCACGTCATTAAACTAAGTACAGTATAACAATTTATGCAAGACACAGAGAGGAATTATCTCCCATCAGAAACATCCATTACTCCCTTACTTATAATTGTTTCCTTTTACATTAATGACAATGATCAGTTGAGAAGTGGACGGGCTGGTGGTGCCACTTTAACACACATATTCTGGCCTCTGTAATTGTACACATTCCTAAAACTGCTGATGTCATGTATGTCTTATGATGGTTTGTGGTACATATGATATGGTGATATTTTCTCTTAATTTATCAATCTCATATTTTTGATTGGTGAATATTCATTGTGTATAATTTTGTTGTTATTTATAAAATTATATTTGTCAAAAAGTATTGGTGTGTGTTGACCTGTGGTGTGTGTTGACCTGTGGTGTGTGTTGACCTGTGGTGTGTGTTGACCTGTGGTGTGTGTTGACCTGTGGTGTGTGTTGACCTGTGGTGTGTGTTGACCTGTGGTGTGTCCTGTGACCTGTGGTGTGTGTTGACCTGTGGTGTGTGTCTTGACCTGTGGTGTGTGTCTTGACCTGTGGTGTGTGTCTTGACCTGTGGTGTGTGTTGACCTGTGGTGTGTGTTGACCTGTGGTGTGTGTCTTGACCTGTGGTGTGTGTTGACCTGTGGTGTGTGTCTTGACCTGTGGTGTGTGTTGACCTGTGGTGTGTGTCTTGACCTACACTGACAGCACCATCATTTGTTGGTCAGTTGTTATTCTTGTTGACCATTATGAGCACCAACTTGTTATACTGTAGAATAAGATTTGAAAGTTCTGTTTGTTTTATTGGTATGAATGTTTGAAGGAATAAGTAAAAATGTTTGAAGAAATAAGTAAATTAAAAGAAAAACTGATATAGTTGTGTGGGAAGCCGACCACCTGACAGTTTATAGCGGTGAAGAACATCCTCCCTGTTCAGGCCGATGGTCACATGTGATGCAGAAGCTATCAATGCATTGTGCTTTGAGATATAACTTCCTTCTTTAAGCAGTTTATTTTTTATTCCAACATCACATCACTGAAAACATTTGATCTACGTAGACAAATCTTTTTTTTTTTCTAAAACATTCGTGCTCTTCAATTTTTTTAGCCTGTTAATTTGCTTATTGGAATTTTAACATTTATATCTTTCATGAATATTGAAAAAAGTAATATTTTGACAGTTGCTACACTTCCCTAATCTATATTATACTCTACTACTGTTTAAGAGGCTGCTAGACAACATTTGTTCTGGGGGAACCAATAAACTAATCCTTTATTTCTGTTACTTTGTTCCACTCACGTCAAAGAAACAGCGGAGCTTCTGCAGTGGAACCTTCATTTAACGGACATTAATCTAACGGGTATAGTCCGTTATATGGAGGTTTGACACACATAATGGACTGTGCTCTGACATAATGTAGTTTATTACGTATATGGAGGTTTGACACACATAATGGACTGTGCTCTGACATAATGTAGTTTATTACGTATATGGAGGTTTGACACACATAATGGACTGTGCTCTGACATAATGTAGTTTATTACGTATATGGAGGTTTCATTATCTAACAAACCTCAATATAATGGACTACCGAACACTCCCATACAGTATAGTCCGTTAAATAGAGGTCTCGCTTTATATCCCACAAACCATACGTTTTACCCATTAAATAAGAAATACTTATAAAAATGAGTACAAGATAATTTCCCTTCTAATAATTCTATACTATTTATAGGCACCAGGTTCAACACTACACAGGAGGCTTGGCCAAGGACACCACTGTCGAACTACGGACATTCCAGTCGTTAACAGTTCCACAAGGCCAGGATGCTCGAACTTGGCACATGCAGACGGAGCGGCTTACTCGGGAATTCTCTCAGGTATGGCAAAGTGATACAAAACTTCACTTAAGCTTCACATTTTTAATATTCGTGTAACGTTTGTGGTAAAAATTAGTTTTCCTACTTGTTGCTTTTTTGCCCCAACGTGATTAAAATTTTTTGCATGGGTACAGGGAAACCTCTATTTAATGGCCTTTATGGACAGGAGAATCCGTTATGCCGAGGGTCCGTTAGATGTGAAACCCCCATCTAATGGATTATATGGAGAAAGAAGTCCATTATATGGAGGTTTCACTGTATATACAATGATTGTCTTGCTTGTGATTGCAGAAGTAAAGTCTTCTCTATAAATACATTTTATGTGACATAGTGGAGCTAGAGTTTATACTATAGCATAAAGCCCTTAATATCTACTTAAATATTTCTTTTTAGGCGCTCAATGACTTCCAAAGTGCTCAGCGCCAGGCAGCAGCAAAAGAGAAGGAAGCGCTCAAGAAAGCCCGAGCTGATTCTGACGCTCATTTCTTTGGTTAGTGCAGTACAGTATAGAGATTATCAACTGAAGCATTTTTAAAGATTTAGGAGAATAGAATTGATTATCTGTAGTAAAATTTATTGACAATTCTAGTTGTATTTTTATATATTTTACATGGTTTCTGGAATGATATTGTTTGTATGGAATAGTTAACATGAGCCCAGTGAGATGCTACCTGGCTTTACATGTACTGGCCAATGCCAATCGGTACAGTTAACTACTAAAGTCCATTCACCTCTTCCCCTGAACCACGAACCCTGAGATTCCGACTCTTGAACCCGAAGCAGAAGACCGACATAATATTCTGTGCATAAATACTTTGGATTCACAAATTTGAATATCGGGGTTCGTGGTTCAGGGGAAGAGGTGAATGGACTTTAGTAGTTGACTGTACAGTACAAGATACATATCCAAATGCTGGATAAGACAAAATTTAATTCAATTCATGGAAGATAAATGAGGGGTTTGGTGGTGGAAGTTTAGCTTAAATTAGCTCTTTTGATTCATTACCAGTAGTTTCACCTCATACACACACACACACACACACACACACACACACCAATCTTAGCTCCAGCATAAGCAACTTCATTTCAGTATATTTTTGTACTATCACTGTATTGTCTCTGGTGTGCACCCATATATACTGTATGTAAGGTGGATCAGGGGGAAGCAGAGGTCTCACAAAAAATGAGAAAAATTGGTCAGGAGAAAAATGCCAAAAAGGTGAATAAACCCAGAATGTGAAAGGAAAGGTCTGCAACAAATAAGAATCACAAAAAAAAAATTCTATATCCAGTGTGCATATAAAATACTGTACTCGTATTCATAGGTAAATTAAGTAATTAATTTCCACACCTTATGTGATTTCAGGCTCACTCCACCACTTTCTTTTAGTTGTCATTTTATATCTTGTCATGAATACATTTTGCAGTGGCATTGTCTGCGACATTATCGGATAAGCATTCACTTAGGCAAATGTTTTGATCATTTTTTTCCTTGGCCTTTTGCACCTGAAGTTATGGAGATGGTTAGTCATTGGAATGTTTGAACAAGATTCTTAATTTGCCACACTATTTGGGGAATATAGGAAAAAGCTTTTATGATTAAGGTGTACAATATGGAGGCCTTCTTGAATGATTTCCCTAATATTTCGGTTATATTGATCCTCCAAATCATACTGGCATGGAGACTAACAAAGATCTTTTAATACAGATGATCCTAGCCATGGAGCGGCCTTGTTGGACCTGGGAGAATCGGGCAACAGAGGGCGGACACAGCAGTCACAAATGCAGATTCAGATGGAACAAGAGCAAGAAATACAGGCACTTCAGGAGAGAGAAACACAGATACGTCAGTTAGAGGTACGGTGTAAATGTTTGGTCTTCACCTGTGTAAGGAATTACTGTGTAGAGTTGTCTAACCATCTAATTGCTCGATAATTCTTGTTAACTCGATCATAAATCAGTTTTCCTTCTGCTGATGAACGTGATGTTGTGGAGATCTTGCTCTGTTACCATCTGTCCAGTGTCAAGTGTTGACTGTTTTATAGTTTACTTTTTTACACACAACTTTTTTCCTTGTTTCAGTCTGACATTATGGACGTTAATCAAATCTTCAAAGATTTAGCAACAATGGTTCATGAGCAAGGAGAGATTGTTGACTCAATTGAGGCTAATGTTGAAGCTGCTCAGGTCCACGTCTCCCAAGCCTCTACGCAGCTCTCACAGGCTAGGCAGTATCAGGTATGTCTTACTTTATATATAGTATATATAAGTGACATCTCTGTTAGCTGGAACAATTGGTGCAGAGCACTTCCAAGAATGAGAGATTTCCAGGTAACGAGACAACTATCTCAAAGCTGGAAAAAAAACCCTCATCCCCGGAATTTCCGGGTAACAGAAAAATGTTCTCGGAATTTAAAACAAAATTGCCTAATTTTCATCTCTCAAACCCAGAAAAACTCTCCCATCCCTGGAAATTTCTGGGATAATCCGGGTACTGGGAAAATGTGTCCCTCGGAAAATCGTTCCCAAGGCCTGAATTTTCCAAAAATTTTGGCTTTGGAAACGATTTTCCGAGAAAATTTAAATTCCGGATATCAGAGTTTTGGTTAAGAGGGATTCCACCTAAGAGAGATATATATATATATCTTGATAAAATCACATGGGGAAAGGGAAACAACGGAACACCTTAGCTAAGGTGCTCCGTTGTTTCCCTTTTCCCCGTGTGATTTTATCAAGATTTATCTTATCCACGTTTTCATTGTGGATCTACATGAAATATATATATATATATATATATATATATATATATATATATATATATATATATATATATATATATATATATATATATATATATATATATATATATATATATATATATATATATATATATATATATATATATATATATATATATATATATATATATATATATATATATATATATATATATATATATATATATATATATAGTGTGCAAGAATATCTGTATGTACTCTGTATAACATAAATATCATAAATGTTGTAAATAATAAATGTGATGCTTGAAGTCTGAATGTACAGTACAGTTGGGGGAAAATATTCTGCCTCTCCCAGGGGTTTGGCTCATTGCTCTCAGAAGCGTGACTAAAGCTCTTGAAGAAAACATTGCTTCATTAGTTCATAGATTTGGTTTGATGCTGTTTCACTGTTTGAGGAGCCATTTATATTATACTGATCCAGTCTGGGCATTGTAACCTGTTATTAGAGTGAGTCAGTGTTTCTTGCCAGGGCAAACTAATCTGGTGCTGATCAGCAAGAATTATCACAGGTCATTTACCTCCTCCACTTGGTTATAAAATGTGATTTCTCACTTCAATCTTCCATATTTATTGTGCCATAAAAGTAGAGTTCTACAAACACCATTCTTTTCAAATTTGCTTACTAAACTCATATCAGAGGTTCATGTGAATGGTGAGACTTGGAATATCTTTTTTATGTTTGTTTTAGTGAGAATGTTTGTGCGTTGGAATACAGCATAATGACTTGAAGTATTAGAAGGCCAGTCATTGTTCAATGATACACTTGTTTATGTTAGAGCATGGTTATAGTGTGCATGTACAGTACAGTACCTTAATTGTATACGTCTCTTGCTTACCGCCCGCCCTCTGTCTTGTGGTTCCTGTTAATGCATAAGGTGTTGTAGGAGGTTCTGAACAGTAGATTGTGCCCTAATTGACAGGTGGGAGCTGATATAACAGTTACCCAACCTTCCCTACGTGTTGCAAGTCTTGTTTAACCCATCGGTGTTGATTTAACCCTTCAGGATACAAAAGGTTAAAATGAACTAATTGTGAGGGAGCTTAGACTTTTCCTCTCAACTTAAGCAACTGACTTCCTCACTGTCTTGTTTATAGGGGCTGCAGTTGAGCTGTGAGAAATTCTGTATGAATTGTTCCAGTTTTACAGGAATTCTGGTTCACAGCCTAGTAGTCATAGAAGTGGAGGCTTTCTGGAAACCCACAAGCTTGACAGTACAGAACATGGGTTCACCTGATCCTTGTGCCTCAGTTCAGTAAAAATGTATACCGTACATTGCTTGATAACCCAGCATTTTGCATTTGTCAGATATGTATGTGTACAGCCTGACCATTGAATGGTTTTTTTTTTTAGCTTATGTAGTATCTGTTCAGCTTGTGTGTGTTACATATGATAAGTGATAGAATTTATTGTACTTGGTGGGGAACTGAGCATTGCCTAGGTTTGTTTAGGAGCAGCTCTTGGCCTATGACTATAACTACACTTTCATCTACACTACATTAACTATACTACATCCTCTACATCCCACAGTCATTTGTGTGTCCCTCAGACCACTGGTGGATCATGGGAGCTGGTGGTGGCTGGCCCTCCTAGTCTGTGATTAGCATCACTGATAGTTATACAGTTTGTCTGTGTGTATGAATGTGAAATGTTTGCATATTCCTAGATTGAGATATTTTAACTATCAAAGTTTTTCAAACAATGTTTTGGCAATGACTGATGTGCTGGGGGGTCAGCCCATATGGGGCCAACCCCCTATCATACTATCACTTTTAGGTGAAGGTCAGCCACTAGACTGAGTCAACAATACTGGACCTGTACTACCATTTTTAGAGGTGGGATCAGGCCCTGTGGCACCAAACCCCTCAATTTACATGTGTTTTTTATAAGGGGGGTTCACCTTTGGGAATAGGGATTGGCGCCAACTCAAAATTACGCCCTTGGGATGCTTCTGGGGTACTTGCACATCTCCAGACCAAATTTCAGTTCTCTATTATCAAAACAGCAGTCTTTTTAAAAATACTGTACGTGCATATTTAATTGATACTGACACGAGATAAAGAAAATGAAGTATCAAGCTGAAATAACGAGGGTTTACTGTACACTATAGGAGTATATAGTAAATGTACAGTGGACACTTGACCACCTAACCTTTCTCTTGTTCCAATATCCAGTCTTACCACTGAGTTACCATAATGTTTGCTCAGCAGGTATTGTATTGATGTTATTTTTGTCAGAACTTAATTTCTGATGAATGTGAGAACCTTCCTAACATGTAATTGTCTGGTACCGTAATTTTACCATACACTACTGTGCTAATATATATACTGTACAGTACAGTATATGGGTAGTTACAACTTGGCTATCCTGTGAACTAGCCTGGGCTTGTCCTTAGTAGCACATTATTAAGATGTTCATTATCAAGAGTCTCTGGATAACCAATGCTTTAACGACTACCAAAATAACTTGTACATTAACAGGAGCCGTCTGTTCACACACTCGGCAAGAAAATAAGTCATTCAGGAGCAATCCCTTGTACTGTATCTGCTGCGTGTATGTGTGTGTGGTAAAGAAAATCTAAATGTTCTACAGTCAAATGATTAAAGAAACTAGAATAATTATGTACAAGTACTGTATTAATAATTCATTTTGTTATGTTTCAGAGCTTAGCTACTCAATACTATAGGCTATTTTGCTTATTGAATATTATTTTGCATTACACAGTCTAGTAACTTTGTCTTTTGTTGATGCACTATTTATATATTATGTACAGTGAACTCCTCAATTAATGAAGCTAAGATAATTTTTATTCCAAATGACATACAGTACAGTACTGTATTGTATATGCATGGCCTGAGGAACACTCACAGTAACTATGTCTGTATTTTACATGTACAGTCAACTACTATAGTCTGTTCTCCTCATCCCCTGAACCCCAAGATTTAGACTCGTGAATTCGAAGCAGTAGACTGATACATTATTTTGTCCATAAATGTTTCAGATTCATGAGTCTGAATCTAGGGGTTCAGGGAGATACAGTAGGTGAATGGATTTTAGAGCAGTAGTTGACTGTACAGTAATATGTTTAAACACAAAAGTTATATCCTGTATTGTGGTCCTAACTGTAATGTTTGTTAGTAATTTTTTTATAAATTTAGTTTCTGCAGTTTTATTGCCCATAACAAAATATTATACTGGTACTGTACCATTCTGTGACACTTGGTTCATCATCCAACTGTTGTCTTTGGGAAATTAAATAATAATCCAACATTGATTTTTGGAAGTTTCTTTCATATGCAATTATAAATAAGATATTAGTATTGCTATACCCTGTATTTCTAATTCAAAATATTCATCTAGAATGAACTAATTTTCAAATGAGTGTACAGGTAATTAACAAAAAATCTTGTCGTTATGTATTGTTAATTGCAGAGTTTACTGTCATTAGTAAATTTTTATTTATTTATTTTTTTACCATTATACAAAATTAGAATGCTAAACAACCACACAATTATTTTAATTTGACATTTCTCTTTTTTTTTTTTTTGTAGAACAAAGCTCGTAGAAAGAAGATATGCCTCTTTGGTATTGGTATAGTACTGTTGGCCATAGTTATTGGGCTTATTGCTTGGTCTGCCTCTTCAAGTTAAGGTGAGTTATTAGTGCTCAATACCAGTGACTATGTTTATATAAAGGACTGTGTGTGTGTGCATGACAGAGAGAGAGTGTGTTTTGAGTTAATGTTAGCGAGTGTGTGTGGATGCGATCTCCAGCTTCAGATTTGAAGATAAAGAGCTGAAATTTGACCTGTACAGTGCAGTATATACACATGCACCCAAAATAGACTTGACGGTGAAACATTCTTATTAAAAGTCATCTGAATAGGGGGAGGTTTGGTCATTGCTGTTAGGGCCATTCCCCCACCTAAAAACGATTGTGTAGGTTGATGTAATATAGATGATATGTTGTTGTGTAGATGAGCGTACAGTAGTGAATGTAGTGTAGATCTGACATAAGGTAATCATAATCTGTAAGTGTAATTGATTATTCTTATTCAAGTAGTCAAAATCAATTACATTATTTTATTTTACATTGTAATTTTAATCAATTACACTTAAAATGTTATCATAATCATGGTTGTTTTCATGATTACATATTTCTATACCCATTATATTTCATATGAAAATGTCGCATGCTCCTTACTACTGGCATGATACCTAATTGATTCACTTGTCATCTGTGTAGTAAGATTTGTGAGCTATCAGTCAGGCTTACTACATTATACAGCTCTTAAGTCACAGTTGGTCAGTGCCAACATTTTAAAGGAGCCGAGTGGCTCTACCTCTACACTGGGGTCACCACTGGGGGATGGGAAGCAGTCAGTGTGTGACAAGATTTCCATCAATGTTGGAATACTGTTGGTGTTGGAGCACTGCAGGAGTACCATGTGTGTTGGTGTACTTGGTGAAACATTGGAAGGGTTTTTTTTTTTTGTATGCATTATGCTCACTTTAGGTTTATATTAAAGAAATAATTACACGCACATATTTAAGGTTCTGGTTTTTGCTTTACATATTTTGATATATGAATAACTTTATATTTCTTGTGGAACCTTCAATGTTTCATCAAACCAAGTATATGAGGACAGTTTTCTGCTTATAAATCTAAAAGTTTCCCTTTCTACCTTTTCAAGTTGTACACTGTAGATGAACCAACATGGTACACTTCACACAGCTTGTGAACAGAAATAGTGACCCAACTTTTCAGCAGCTACACTTATAGTCCATGTGTCTCTCCTCCCAAGATGTGAAGGAGACACAAGGGTCAGCAGTGTTTAATGGTCACTTATTAGAAAGTATTTACTGTGAAATGAGTTAAGTAATAGATACAGTATTGTACCTATAATCACACAGCAGCATTGAGCTTTCCTCTCACTACTGTGGCATGGATTCAGTCCCAGGTTATCCAGACATGGCAGGTTTACTCTGATTACTGTACTCTGGTTTTCTGCTACACTAACACTGGAAAATGAGTCATAACAAAAGAACAGATTGACTACCCAAATGATTACTAAGCTGACAAGTGATCAAACTGAAAATGTTTATAGCCAGCTGCAGTTGCCATATCTGGCTGCAACATGTTGTAGCTGTAAGATCTCACCTATACTGTATAGGCTTGTAAAGTCTGAAGCACTATAAATAAGTAGCAATTTGTATATACGAGTTGGCACATTTCTTTTCATCTTTGGGATGAGAATATGTGTCTGACAGTACAGTACAATGTAGGACCTCCAGCTCACATACAGGTAGACTTGGCTCACTGAACTTGAGTCTTATATTTGAAATGTTTTATTGCATTATTATTTTGAGATCATTGTTGTATGAATGTCATGTGATAAGGGTAGAATTGGGTCTTGGGCCACCTGGACAACCACATGGCGTTTGAGCTCGTAAATGGGGAGGTTTACCAAGAAATACTTGTGTTCAAGTGTCATTAATTGGGAGTTGGCAATGAATGGATGTGTCAACCTGTTGTGTGTTTTTGTGAGAGGATGTTACAGGTAACTCAACACTGAGGCATACTTTTGCTAATTTTTTTCTCACCAGGTTCTATTAATAAAATCAGTATGTACAGTGAAACCTCTATTTAATGGACTGTATGGAGAAGGAAGTCTATTATATCGAGGGTCCGTAAGATGCGAAGCCCCCCATCTACCGGATTATACAGAGATGCAAGTCCATTATATCGAGGGCACATCAGACCTGAAACCCACATCTAATGGATTATTTGGAGATAGAAGCACATTATAGGGAGGTTTCACTATGTAGGTACATAACACTGATGTCAGTTTCTTGTTTCAGGATAAGTCCAGACGGAAGGTAGTTCTGCTAACACTTGCCTGCCTTATGATTGCCTTGGTGATTGGTCTCATTGTATGGGCTAGCAACTGAGGCCTAATGAGCATCTTAAATTTCATGCATTTACCTGTACTGTAGGTAATGGCAGTTGAAAGACATTCTGTTCCTGTGCGTTGAGTATTGGTCTGTCCTTCACGTTTTGGTAAATTATGAAATTGTTTGTCGTCTTCTACACATTGGCAATACTGGAGATGACCGAAGTGATTTGTTTATAAAAAAAAAATTGTTGTATATATTTTTTAAAGATTTCAATCATGACTGAAATTAAGAAAAGATTACTACCGTATAATTATATTTGATGTACTGTAATGTAATGTAGTCTAACCTTTGTGATGAATTAATTGATATTATTTATTGAAAATGAAAGGCAATGAGAAAGAAAAAGAATATTTTCTTTATTGTTTTCCTTGCCACTTCTTGGAAGATGTCATCTGGGTCTTTAAAGGAATCCTAACACTATAATAATTTCACTTTCACACAATGATACAGTAACTTTCTTCATTTTTACCGAGAAAATTATTACTCAATGAACTGGATGAAATAATCTTACAAAAATATAAATTAAATTCATAAAAAATATAATAACAATATTTAAGAGATCAAGTGTTAGTCCCCCCCCAAAAAATATTGTTTGAATATATTTAGTTATTACATAGAGTGGTAACCTAGTGTAACACTCCCTCAACAGTGACATAGTAAGGTGTCTGAGCACAATTTTGAAAATAAATTTATAAGTACATGTGAGAAAAGTTTATGGTTGTGTGTACATATATGGTAATGTTTGCAGGTACAGTTTATTGTTATAACCAGCTAAGCACTCTTCCCCTCCCGTGTACTGTAGTGTTTGATTATATTATTGACTCTTGCCTTCAGTAGCAGTTTGTAGTAAGTAGGGCAAACCCATTTAAGTTATCTGTGAGTAAGAGCAGAGCAGTCTAATTCATGCCATACAAATGGAAAGATTACACTACCTTGAGCCTTTCACTCCTGGAGGGTTAAATCATTGTCCTTAAAGGTTTAAATCATCATCATCAAAGGTTTAAATCATCATCAAGGGTTTAAACCATAATCTTCAAAGGGTTGAACCATAATCATCAAATGGTAAACCATCATCCTCAAAAGCTTGAATCATTCTTCAAAGGATTAAACCATAGCCTCAAAGGGTTAAACCATCCTTAAAGGGTTCAATCATCATCATCATCATCATCATAGGGCTAAACCATAGTCTTTTAAGAATTGTAGTGTAATTTTGTGGAATGAAAAACATTAAACAGTCTGCCATTAATCTACATTTGTGATGATTAATTTTAGGGCCCCATGTTGGGGATGGCAATGACAAATATCTACAACTTTGACAACAGTGTATGTAAATGGTACAAGTATTATGACTTGTTGTACAGTCCATCAAAAAAACTATCCTCTCAGAATTGTGTTAGACGGTATGACAACGGATCAACAAGAGTCGCAGTGTTCATTCTGAAATTTATCGATCCCCCCCCCCCAAGTACGGATAGTTTTTTTATTAACTTTACATTAGTCTTGTTAAGCTTTTGAGAGACTGTGTTCAGGATACTGGTTAACATTTGAAAGATATTCTATGAGCAAATGAAACTATGCTAAGGCCTTAAAAGATTCAATTCCACAGTGATTGTGTAAGTTAGATTATGCTTTCATAGATACTGTGAGTGGGGGGGGCCCTGATGTATGTAGAAGTTTATCTATAATATGACTTGTTTGGGTGCAAAATTATGGTGTAAAATAGTGTACATGATACAAGCTATGACTAACCTTACTATAGGAGTATACAGTGGAACCTCTATTTAACGGACTATATGGAGATGAAAGTATTATATCGAGGATCCTTTAGATATGAAACACATCGGGTACTGTAGAGACATGAAGGAAGAGCACTAGTAATAGCTAGACGATGGAGAATGTTTTGCTTCTCCACAGACACCATTTAGGAAAGTGTTCACTCATGTTAAGCAAACAATAAAAGTTGAGTGTAATTAATCTAGAAAGTATATACTGTACTGTTCCTTAAGTATTATCTCTCTTTGCACCTAACACCGCTACCACCAGCTTAGGTTGATCAGGATGGAGGTGTACTTCATGTTACCCATAGTGTCCTTTGTCTTTTAATTATTAGTAGTGTTATATATATTTTTTAGGGGGGGAGGGGGTTGTAATATAGAAATTCATTTAGTTAAGGACCAAGGAATTTTAAGTTGATCTTTTCTCTGTGTCCAGTACAGGTACTGTACTTCTTTTGCTGGATACTCACTCCCCTAGTGTACAGTACAGTACTGTACTCTCGTCTGTCACCATTATTGCTGGGAATTGTCAGTTGTTACCATTTTATCCCCCTGGTGAGTCCACTGGGTACTGAATGTCGCCCCCTCCTCCCCCCACCCTTTGTGCTTTATAAAGGTAGCATCTAATGATTCTTGAAGATGCCCATTTTTTCTTAATTAGTCCCTTTATTTAAAGCAAGCTAGGCACCCCTGATGATCTCTACATCAATCACTGTTACTGCTTGTATTGTGTGCTAAAACATACAATACTGTATCTCTGTTAGCCAGAACAGCTGGTGCAGAGCACTTTTGGGAATGAGAGATTTCCGGGTAACAAGACGACTTGACGCTGGAAAAAAAATCCCTCGTCCCCGGAATTTTCCGGGTAACGGAAAAATTTTTCTCGGAAGTTCCAGAAATTGCCCATTACATCGTCTCTCAAACCCGGACTAATGCCCCTGATTTTCATCTCTCACACCCAGAAAAAATCCACCATCCCCAGAATTTTCTGGGTATTGGGAAAATTTTCTTGGATTTTTCCAGAAAATTTGCCCCTCAGAAAATCGTTCCCAAAGCCGGAATTTTCCGGAAAATTCTGGTTTCGGGAACGATTTTCCGAGAAAATTTCAATTCCGGCTATCGGAGAGTGCCGAGTTTGAGGGAGTCCAGCTAACGGAGATGTTACTGTACTATGTTTAGCTTGGATACACTGAACAGTACAGTACTATACTATACCAAAAACCAAATCTTTATAACATGGCCAAAAGCCATATTTGTTCTTAAGAATTTAAGTAATTATGCCAAAGAATTTAACTCGTAAGAATATTTTACGTAGATCCACAATGGACCATCGTTCGAGACAAATCTCTATAAAACAACACAGGAGAAGGGAAACAGAAGAGCACCTTAGCTTTCTTCTTCATTCAAGACATCTTAAGAGGCAACTGAATTTACAGGGACTGAGAGGCTCTTATCAGCCCCTGTAAGTTCATTTGCCTCTGAAGATGTCTTGAATAAAGTAAGAATATGTATGGTATTTAGGAGAGATATACCGTGTGCTGAAATTAGTGTCCTCTCGCATAATTTGGCCGCATTAAAAAAAATCTTATTTCAAAGGTTCAGGTGGGTGGTGGTGGTGTTTAACATAACTTGTCCCAACTCGTTTATAAAATTGGATATCAGTTAAATTGTAGGCTTTGAAAAGCCTAGTTTTGTGGTTGGGTTTCAGCTACAGTACTTTACATTGCTATTTCTTAAGTGGAAGAATGTCTGAGCACAATTCTGGGAAGATTTCGACTCCTGAATGAATTTAAAACTAAAGTATCTTTCTACCACCTCCCTAATGCTATTGGTTTTCATAAATCGTGAGTCACATACCAGTGCCCATGGCCCTAATTAGAGGATTTGAGTCCTGCAGGTCCATACATGTCTGAGAGCCAAGATGGGTGACTTGAGTACCATTGATTTTCTCACGAGTTAACATGATAGCAGCTGGAGGCGACATACTGTAGTGGCCTCGCGGTGATCACAAGATTGTGTCAAGGGTTGGAAGAAGTGAAGGATTCATTTCAGGTTTAACTCTTAACTCACTAGTTATTACTGCATCAAGGGATACTTTTGTAGGCTCCAAATTAATACAAGCGAGTCGTTTTTACAGCCTTTGCTGCTTCACGCCAGTGTTATCAAACCATAATATGGCGTATGATGGTGGATGCAATTTGCTGAAATCTCAGGTTTATCACCTTGACAATTGGGCATTAATTGGAATTTTAGGATTTGGTCTTTCGTGGGAAGTACTGTATTGTACTTGTGATATCTAAATATTGTGTTAATGAGTATTCCCTTCACTAATAAAGGCTCAGTTGATCGTGAACAAAATCTGATTGTTGAAAAACTGAATATCAGTTCTGTATACCATTATATATCTTATAATTTTGTTTCCAATATTAAGGCAAAACTATAAGCTATTGGAAACTAATGTCCCAACTTTCCACTTTGATAAATTTTTTGAAGAGTGTTTTCAGGCTGGTTATAAAGTTGATTTCTTTTAGTTTGTGTTGCTCAGGCAAATGTTCACTGTTTGAGGGACTTATCAAGTGTAAAATGTGTGAATACATTTTCAATTGTTTAGCCACTGTGTTGTAGACCTTTAATTTATCACATAGAAATATGATGGTACAGTAATATGTCATCGGTGTCCCAGTCATTTTGATGTATTCATACCAGTGGTGTGGCTGATGGATATGATTTTTATGATGTACTTTATTTGTATCGTCAATAATTCCACTGAAGTATTTGATGGTAATTCTGTACTAGTAATGATATTAGCTGCTAGTTGTTACAAGGATTTTATATATGACAAGTGATTTTTTCCTTGGAAATTGTGATAGTTTGTTAATACCCATACTGTACCGTACTACTTAATATACCGATGAAGTCCGTCTTAGAGAAGCCCAGTACGGTATACAGCCAACTTTACGAGGTAGACTACGGTAGGTTCTGGGTGTGTGGTGTACTGTACCTGTGGCTGTTTTGTAATCCATATATTGGGTCTTGTAACTGCAGAAGTCTCATGTGTATATCTTAAATAAATGTTAATCTTCTCTATCCATTATAGAATTTTTCTCATGGGCTTCTTCCTTGTTTAATAATTATATTTGTAAAAATCAAAATGACATGTAACTTTAATCAGAATTTTGTAAATAATGTGAGCAATATTGTATTACAGACAAATTAGTCGAAGAAGAGAGTAATAAGTCATTTCTATTTCGAAATATTATTTTCTATGTTTAGTTAATGTCAAGGATCACATAATTAGTTATCTAAAATTATAGCTACATTATTGTACTTACACACACACACTTCTGTTGTGATTTTGGTGTGTAACTTGAATTACTAAACACACCACATGCTGTATTGTAGTCCCATTGAGTCATATATATCTTTAATAGTGGAATATTAATAAAGCTTTATCTAGGGCATTGCAGGTGCTCATTTATATGTTTGTCATTACTACTTGTTCTTCAATGAAGCAAACGACCATTTAACAGCCCAAAGTTAGTAGACCAGTCAGGTAATAGTGAAATGAGCAGTTGTGATGCATTTATCACTTCCATACTCATGTTATAGAAGAGTGTTGTTCATCAAAGCATTTTCCCAGTTATTAGTAATTAAACTGAGTATAAAGTATGCACACATTGTACATACAGTATATTATAAATATCTGAACTTTTCAAGAACTTCTGTTGAGTTAGTGCAAAAAGTATATACAGGTATACATAATATATGTGTATATTTTGCACCTAAATGTGTATAGATGACTAAAGAAATACTCCATTTCTTTTAATGAAAAATATATATTCAGGGTGTATTTAAATTTTTTATACAGTACATTCCTACATGTGAAATAAATACTGTACTCTCATCACTCATTGGCTTTAGTGGTCAGCAGTGAATGTTCTTGCTGCCCCTCGGCAATATTCATATGTATAGTTAACTACTAAAAGTCCATTCGCCTCTCGTCCCGAACCACGAAAACCAAAATTCGGACTCATGAACCTGAAGCAGTTGACTGATACATAATTCTATCCATAAATGCTGCGGGGTTTGTGGTTCAGCAAGAGAGGCAAATGGTCTTAAGTAGTTGACTGTAAGTAAGTAGGCCATATGTATGGTCATGATTATCAACTTATAGCATGAAATTTTGAATTGAACATTTTTATCAAAGTGAAACTGGTAACTGAGCATTATGGATTGGGTACATTTAAGACTGCATGTTCTTCACACCACTATGGTCATATGTTAGCTAAGTGTTGTAACTGTGGAGCATTGTTATTCTATGAACACAATATAACGGGAAGTGCAGTTAAACTCATCAACTGTAAAGTAGCATTCCTTATGCTGTAAAACCTGTAATATATATTAATTAGAGCATATGTTTCCTGTACATATTATAGTATTTTATGTTTCCTCTGAGTATCACTGTTGGCTAAGTTCATTTGTATTGCATATAATAAAAGTTGGGTTGCCTCTTTATGTATCTGAGTAAATAAAATATATATTATAATAAAATATTTTCGTTTTGAGAGAACCTTCTTTTTCATGAAGGCAAATCTGTGTACAATACTTTTTTTCCCAGTGGACACCCACTGGAGGTGACCATGCCAAGGGAAGGTGGTCAGTGGCCTGTACTGGATCCCTCCATAGTTCTTGATAATTTTATTGAGGACCATTTTTGAGCCCCATACTGTTCAATATTCTACAGCTTTGGCTGCTAGATCCTTATATTCGTACTCCTGAACCTGTGCACAGGAGTACATACTGTACAGTACTGTATACTGTATTGAGACTGAACAAAACACTTTCTTAGAAATGGAAATTAATGTGTTTAACTAAAGTGCATCCAGAATAATACAAAAACACCAAAAAGTGACCCTGAAAAACCATAGGAGGAAAGTAATTAGTGTTGCAGAAGTAATAATACACTTCCAGATGTCATTTGGACAAGTAATAATAAAAATATCAAATTGTGGACAACATCCTTATGAGGTTATTTTAGTGATAAAATAATTTTTCTTTTAACATGACCTGAAATAACATTATCCTAGCATAAACAGCTGGTGTAACAAGCACCCCTTCAGCTGGTGCAACACTACCTGTCAATGGTAAATATCCGCAGCGCATCTGGAGGATAGAGGACTTGCCGTTCACATCCTCTTACAGCTACATCCTCATTCTGGAGTCTACACAATATAGATAAAAGAAAAAAATTGCGTTAAATGTTATGTGGATAGCTGATGACACAAACTTTACTGTGATATACATAGTTGGCATAAGCCGATTAGTGGCGAAGAGGATAAAAGGAAAAAAAGTACACATGAAAGTGAAAAGTTTACTATCATACTGAAGGTAACAAGTTTACTATTGTATATATGGTAATAAGTTTACTATTGTATATATGGTAACAAGTTTACTATCATATATATGGTAATAAGTTTACTATCGTATGTGTGAAGACAAATTTACTGTCGTACACAATCATTTAGGTGTCACAACTCAGAGAATATTAAACACACCTCCTCCGTCTGTTACATCCAAATGTTCCTAAACTATTATGATTTTCTATTCTATTTATATTCAGTAAGAATCTCAGGTAAAGCAGGACAAGGCCTCGCCCACCTGTACATTCTCTCGTACCCCGTGACGCTCAGCCCACGTGACCCACCTGTTGCCCCTCACCACAGCTGTCTGGCGTACAAGGTTTACCATTTTACACACGCAATCATTGCACAGCCAGCGTTTGGCTGGTATATATATTAATTTATTATTATAGGTGATATCTCCTCATTTAAAATTTATGAATAATGAATTAATTAAACTCCCCCCAATGAAATTTATACAAAAGCCGTACGACTGCTTCACCAATAGCAAGGCAGTAAAGATATCAGTGTAAAATGTGATAGCGTTTGGTCAGTCAGTCTCCTGTCTGTGTGATGAGTTGTTGTGGTGAAAGTCTTTAGTGGACAATATTTGCTGCAGTAACATCAACTTTCATCAGGTTACATTGTTAAAAAGTATTTAAGTAACCCAACAAATACCCTTTACACAATGTCTGATATCCCAGATGACGCTCCGGCCCCTCGTCTCTCCATCATCGTCCAGTGGCCTGAGTTTGACGGCTACGGGTTTAATCTACATGCAGAAAAGACCAAACCCGGCCAATACATTGGTCAGGTAGACCCAAACTCTCCTGCCGAGGTAGCTGGGCTAGTAGAGGGTGACCGTATCATTGAAGTCAATGGAGTAAATATTGCCAACGAAAACCACAAACAGGTAAAGTCCTCTAATTAACAAACACGTCAGAGGGCGGTATGATGTTATACCACTGCCAACACCTGTATTAAACACTGTAAAGATATTTAAGCTAAAATTTGAAGAATAATTGTAGAGTGAAGGAAAAATCCCTCGACTGTGATCATTCATTACCTTCAATAACCGTTTTTATTAGTTATCAGGTAGAAATAACTTAATATATGTAGTTAGATGTAAGTTTTTATTTGTAAAGCAGTTAAGAGCGTCTGAACATGTCGTCGCTGCTGTAAATTCACTGGTAAATGGTTAATAATCGTGCGGGTGGTTTGGGGTAGTGGGGTGGAAGGTGGAGGGGCAGGGTAGACAATAACGACGGACTCTCACTTTCTGCCCAGGGGCGATCAGTGGCCGCCTCTCCCTCCCTCCCTCCCTCACCACACGTCGCCACTCCTCCCTCACCACACGTCGCCACCCCTCCCTCCCTCCCTCTCCTCCCCCACACGTCGCCACTCCTCCCTTCCTCCCTCCCCCCACATCGCACTCCTCCCTTCCTCCTCCCCACACGTCGCCACTCCTCCCTTCCCCCCACACGCCGCCACTCCTCCCTCCCTCATCACACGTCGCCACTCTCCTCCCTCACCACACGTCGCCACTGCCGTCCCACCTCCCTCCCCACACCACACGTCGCCACTCCTCCCTCCCCACACCACATTCTCCCCACACCACACGTCGCCACCCCTCCTCACCACACGTCACCCACCCATCCCTCCCTCCATACATCGCCACCTCCATCCCTCACCACACGTCGCCACTCCTCCCTCACCACACGTCGCCACTCCTCCCTCCCTCCCTCACACGTCGCCACTCCTCCATCCCTCACCACACGTCGCCACTCCTCCCTCTCGCCACACGTCGCCACCTCCCTCCCTCCCTCCCCGCCACACGTCGCCAATCCTCCTTCCTCCCTCACCACACGTCGCCACTCCTCCCTCACCACACGTCGCCACCCCTCCTCCCTCGGCACACGTCGCCACCCCTCCTCCCCGCACACGTCGCCACCCCCTCCCTCGCCACACGTCGCCACCCTCCTCCTCACACACGTCGCCACCTCCTCACACGTCGCCACCCTCCCTCCCTCACCACACGTCGCCACCCCTCCCCCTCACCACACGTCACCACCTCCTTCCTCACCACCTCCTCTTTCACCACTCCTCCTGCCCTCCCTCACGACCTCCTCCCTCCCTCACCAGTCCTCCCTCCCTGCTCACCACCTCCCCTCACCACACGTCGTCACCTCCCTCACCACACATCGTCACCTCCCTCCCTCACCACACGTCGTCACTCCTCCCTCCTCACACGTCGTCACTCCCTCCTCACCACAGTTCCTCCTCCCTCACCACACCCGCCACCCTCCCTCCTCACCACACGTCGTCACCCTCCCTTCTCACCACAGGTCGTCACCTCCTTCCTCACCACAGGTCGTCACCCTCCCTTCCTCACCACACGTCGTCACCTCCTCCCTCACCACACGTCTCCTCTCATCCCACCCTCATCACACGTCGTCCTCTTCACCACACACGTCTCCTCCTCCTCCCTCACCACACGTCGTCCTCCTCACCACACGTCTCCCTCCTCCCTCCTCATCACGTCGTCCCTCCTCACCACACGTCTCCCTCCTCCTCCCTCCCTCACCACACGTCGTCCTCCTCCCTCACCACACGTCGCCACCTCCCTCCCTCACCACACGTCTCCCTCCTCCTCCCCTCACCACACGTCCTTCTCCTCCCTCACCACACGTCATCCTCCTCCCTCCCTCACCACACGTCGTCCTCCTCCCTCACCACATCGTCCTCCTCCCTCCTCCCTCACCACACGTCGTCCTCCTCCCTCCCCTCACCACATCGTCCTCCTCCCTCCCTCACCACACGTCGTCCTCCTCCCTCCCTCACCACACGTCGTCCTCCTCCCTCCCTCACCACACGTCATCCTCCTCCCTCCCTACCCCCGTCATCCTCCTCCCTCCTCCACCACACGTCACTCCTCCTCCCCTCACCACACACGTGTCACTCCTCCCTCCCTCACCACACGTCGTCCTCCCTCCCTCCCTCACCACACGTCGTCACTCCTCATCACACGTCTCCACTCCTCCTCCCTCCCTCCCTCCTCCCTCCCTCACCACACGTCTCCCTCCTCACCACACGTCTCCCTCCTCCTCCCTCACCACATCGTCCTCCTCACCACACGTCCCTCATCCCACCCTCATCACACGTCATCCTCTTCACCACACGTCCCTCCTCCCTCCCTCACCACACGTCGTCCTCCTCCCTCCTCCCTCACCACATCGTCACCTCCTCTCCCCTCTCACCACACGTCGTCCTCCTCCACACATCTCCCTCCTCCCTCCCTCACCACACGTCGTCCTCACTCCACCACACGTGTCCCTCCTCCTCCCTCCCTCACCACACGTCTCCCTCCTCCCTCCCTCACCACACGTCGTCCTCCTTACACCTGCAGGCTGGGTTGTAGGAAATCGGTGTTTATTTGTAGTTGTAAAAAAATTATAACATTGATGAATATGAATAACAACTGGTAGTGAAGGATGAGAGGAGGGTAATAACAACTGGTGGTGAAGGATGATAGGAGGGTAATAACAACTGAGTAGTGAAGGATGAGAGGAGGTAATAATAACTGGTGGTGAAGGATGAGAAGGAGGGTAATAATAATTGGTGAAGGATGAGAAAGGAGGGTAATAACAACTAATTGGTGAAGGATGAGAGGAGGGTAATAACAACTAGTTGATTGAAGGATGAGAGGAGGTAACAACTAATTGGTGAAGGATGATGAAGGAGGTAATAACAACTGGTGGTGAAAGGATGAAGGAGGAGTAATAACAACTGGTGGTGAAGGATGAAGGAGGAGTAATAACAACTGGTGGTGAAGGATGAAGAAGGAGGGTAATAACAACTGGTAGTGAAGGATGAGAGGAGGTAATAACAACTGGTGGTGAAGGATGAGAGGAGGTAATAACAACTGGTGAGTGAAGGATGAAGGAGGGTAATAACAACTGGTGGTGAAGGATGAGGTAATAACAACTGGTGGTGAAGGATGAGAGAGTGGCATAACAACTGGTGGAAGGATGAGAGGAGGGTAATAACTAACTGGTAGTGAAGGATGAGAGGAGGGTAACAACTGGTAGTGAAGGATGAGAGGAGGGTAATAACAACTGGTAGTGAAGGATGAGAGGAGGGTAATAACAACTGGTGGTAGGATGAGAGGAGGGTAATAACAACTGGTGGTGAAGGATGAGAGGGTAAAACAACTGGTGGTGAAGGATGAGAGGAGGGTAATAACAACTGGTGGTGAAGGATGAGAGGAGGGTAATAAATTGGTGGTGAAGGATGAGAGAGGGTAATAACAACTGGTGGTGAAGGATGAGAGGAGGGTAATAACAACTGGTGGTGAAGGATGAGAGGAGGGTAATAACAACTGGTGGTAGGATGAGAGGAGGGTAAACAACTGGTAGTGAAGGATGAGAGGAGGGTAATAACAACTGGTGGTGAAGGATGAGGAGGGTAATAATAACTGGTGGTGAAGGATGAGAGGAGGGTATAACAACTGTAGTGAAGGATGAGGAGGGGTAATAAATAACTGGTAGTGAAGGATGAGGAGGGTAATAACAACTGGTAGTGAAGGATGAGAGGAGGGTAATAACAACTGGTAGTGAAGATGAGGAGAGGTAATAACAATGTGGTGAAGGATGAGAGGAGGTAATAACAACTGGTAGTGAAGGATGAGGAGGGTAATAAATAACTGGTAGTGAAGGATGAGAGGAGGGTAATAACAACTGGTAGTGAAGGATGAGAGGAGGGTATAACAACTGGTAGTGAAGGATGAGAGGAGGGTAATAACAACTGGTAGTGAAGGATGAGAGGAGGGTAAAACAACTGGTAGTGAAGGATGAGAGGAGGGTAATAACAACTGTGTGAAGGATGAGAGGAGGGTAATAACAACTGGTAGTGAAGGATGAGAGGAGGGTAATAACAACTGGTAGTGAAGGATGAGAGGAGGGTATTAACAACTGGTAGTGAAGGATGAGAGGAGGTAATAACAACAGGAAGGATGAGAGGAGGGTAATAACAACTGGTAGTGAAGGATGAGAGGAGGGTAATAACAACTGGTAGGGAAAGATGAGAGAGAGGTAATAACAACTGGTAGTGAAGGATGAGAGGAGGGTAATAACAACTGGTAGTGAAGGATGAGAGGGTAACAACTGGTAGTGAAGGATGAGAGAGGGTAATAACAACTGGTAGAGGAGGGTACAATGGTGGTGAAGGATGAGAGGGAATAACGGTGGTGAAAGATGAGAGGAGGGTAATAACAACTGGTAGTGAAGGATGAGAGGAGGGTAATAACAACTGGTAGTGAAGGATGATAGAGGGTATAACAACTGGTAGTGAAGATGAGAGGAGGGTAATAACAACTGGTAGTGAAGGATGAGAGGAGGGTAATAACAACTGGTAGTGAAGGATGAGAGGAGGGTACAACAACTGGTGGTGAAGGATGAGAGGAGGGTAATAACAACTGGTAGTGAAGGATGAGAGGAGGGTAATAACAACTGGTAGTGAAGGATGAGAGGAGGGTAATAACAACTGGTAGTGAAGGATGAGAGGAGGGTAATAACAACTGGTGGTGAAGGATGAGAGGAGGGTAATAACAACTGCATATGGCAATACGAGTTATGTAAACACGTCGATGGAGGGAGAAGGGACAACTACGGTCTCTCAACTCAGCCACACTCATCAGATTTAGGTTGTGGTCGCCCCCAGCCGAGGAACAATACTTGTGGCAGAGAACTGTTTACCTCACAATGTATATACCGTCGGAAGCAGTAATTGCCCCTCCCAGAGTAGTCAGAGCCACAGCATGTGAAGGCCTGGTGATTGCACAACCCATCTCCCCCCCCCCTTCCCCCTGTCTAAACATTGCTGGGTAGTTCTGGAACTATCGTGGCTGGAGATGTT